CCGCCTGACCCGTGCGCTTCCGTTCTCCTCTCTTGTCTGCAGGTGGCGATGGCAACGGGGCAGGTGTTGTTTCATCGCTTTTTCTACTCCAAGTCTTTCGTCAAACACAGTTTTGAGGTAAGCACTGTGGAGGCGGGCGAAAGGCGGTTTCTTCATCCGGAAATGGGAAGGGGGGCCGAGTCGGCAGCCGGCTCTTCCCGAAAGGGAGTGGCTATTGAGCCTTTGTATCTGCGTCTCGTTCGCTGGGAAGCGATGACCCGCGGAGTGTGTTTTAGAAGCTAGAAAACGAATCCTGAGCCTACGCGAGCTCATACCGGGAATTTTTTCCAATTTAGATTGTGACTCCCATGAGGCTTAGCTGGTTCTAGATCCGTAAGAGTGTAGTGGCGGCATGGTGATAGCCTGCTAACTGGGCACTCCAATTTTAATCTTTCACCAGAGGTTGTCTCAGTTGTGTTCTGAAGCCCCCAGATAAAAGAGTTTTGCTGGGCGTGGTGGCACAGGGAGGCTGAGGGAGGCGCGTCGCTGTAAGTTTGAGGCCAGCCTGGGCTGCACAGTGAGGGCAAGGCCGGTCTGAACGCTGTAGCCAGACCCTGTCTCAGAAAAAAAAGTAATTTAGACTTTGAAGAGGGGAATTTATTTCCTCATTGTATTTTGCAGTTCAGTAGCATGACACTTAATTTTGTCTGCCTTTGGGTTCTTTCAGATTGTTGCCATGGCCTGTATTAATCTTGCATCCAAAATTGAAGAAGCTCCTAGAAGAATAAGAGATGTGATAAATGTATTTCACCACCTTCGCCAGTTAAGAGGAAAAAGGTAAGATTGGCATTATTTGTAAAACACTTGCTACTGCTGTACTGTGCACCAGTCATCAAAACATTTTTTCTCTCCAGTTAACATGGATGCTAAAGAAAACCTTTTGAGTAAGGTGTTAAAATTCATTTAGGGAAAACGATACTAAAATTTATTTTGAAAAACCCCAATTAACCAGCTATCCAAAGTTTTTAGAGGAAGTTGCATTTGTGGATAACCTTAACAGTGCTGTGAAGCCAGTCCATTGGCGTAAGATTAAACAAGAAAGGGAATACATTTGGCTCAAGTGTGAGTGTATTCTGTAAGTTTACATTACCCCCTCTCCTCTTTAGAAGACTAAAGGCTGGATGTTTAAACACTATAGTCAAGTTAATATTGTGGCAAAGTTCTGTGTAGATTGTTTTTCTACCTGAAGTCCCAGTTCTTTGTGAATTGAGGTTGACTTTGTGTTAAGAGTTCAACACAACATTCAACTACGATGTATGGCATAATACCGAATCTGAAAGGACGGATGATAAAGTTTGAAGTCAAGGGATTAAACAGGTATTTTGTTTGGTCAGATAGTCTCAGTGAGTGGATAAGAAAAATAACATAAAATTGACTGAGTTGTCTTTAAAGTTAGCCTGTTTATTTGATTTGTAAAAAAGCAGAAGTACTTTTTAGTTGCGATAATGTGATAACTTTATGTGGATCTGTGTGTTTATCTGAGGCAGTGCCAAAAACTTTGTTCAGGACTTCCATTATCAATGGATGATTTCTCATACACATTAGCAGAAGGATATCTGGTGTGGATTAGCTTTTGTGTTCTTATTAAGGAATTGTGATGTGATGGTAGACGTACTGATTGTGAAAGTGAATCTGAAAGTTTGGGAGATTCTCGGGTTTAGTGCCAAATTAGTATTCTGTCTAAGTAGTTTTATTGGCAGAATCTGTAAATTGGCAGTCGTGGAACTACTGAGAGAAGCAAATAGCGAAGTAACTGAAAGGATTAGCCTGCTCAAAATTTGAAGCATTCATATTAAACACTGTTTTATAACATTTTCTAGTATTCTTACCTAGTTTTTCTCACCCATTTTGTCTGTTGAGGGATAGTGTGATTTTTATTCCATTTTAAAACTTGCAGTTTTTGGTGAGGAATCATTGAGAAATGGAAAGGTTTTGGTTTGGTATTTGGCATGGCCTGAGTTTATTTGTATTTAGATGTGTGACTGATTTTGTTCAAGGTGCTTAAAAACAGAAGGACACTAATATAGGGCTCCTAAGTGAGGAATTTTGTTTACATAACAGGAAGTACTGTAGTTTTCTGGTAGTCTCTGAATCATGGAGATAGCTGTTAATTACTTCATTTTGTTTTTATAATTTCCCATTTCTTCCTGAACCTAAGTTTTCTTCCTTCGTGTCAGAATAAGGTCTTCTGAACTGTAAAAAGCTTGGAATTTAAAACAATCGCATCTAATTATGTCTGGTGTAACAGTGCAATTTTTTGGTCATTACAGAAATTGATTTTGTGAAGTCTGATTGTAGCATGAAATTTAAAAGGACTTTTTAATTGCATGGAAGCTCCTTCTTTTTTAAAAAAAGCAGGATGTAAAAGTTTTTCTATGCATATTACAAGTTTACTCAGACGTGTAACTTGTATATGTTATTAACTTCAACTCTTTTTTCCCTTGCAACCGACTATACAGCGACCAGCTACATTTACCAAAGCCTGGGTGATGTGGAGTGGTACATAGAGATGAAGCTGTCGTCATGGCAACAGTGAGTGAAGTATCGAAAATCCCCAAGGAGAAGCCAGTGCTCTGAGAATAGGTCACTGGAATCGGGGACTAACAGGTTGGCCACTGGTGAACCATTTAGAAAAAACTCCTGTTTCTTGTTACAAGCTTTTGTCTTTGCTGTCCAAGTTATTAGAGCTATACTTTTGTTTTTGTTTTTTTTCTTTTTTGTTTTTGTTTTCAGCATAGGTTAATGTTACTGAAAGTAGTATTGATATTATACCTTGTTTTGGGTAAGCAGTTAGTCTTCGATTTGTTTTAGCCCAATTTGTGCATGACTTTATTGTTTGACCTTGAGAATGTTAGTAAGACTTGTAGACTTTGTCATTGTCTTTTTAGTCTTGGCTACACAGTAAAATTATCAGGGGACTGATTTAAAGTACCAATGGCTAGGCTTCCGCATGTATTAGTAGGTCTGTCCCTCTTCAGGTTTTGTAGTTTTAATAATTGTCTTTGAAGTTCAGAACGAGTGGCCAAGTTACAAAAGAAAAGTTGCTTTTTTTCATTTCCATATTTTCCTGGTACAATTTCCATTTGTTCTCTGTAACATTCTCAATGGTAAAGGATTTTTTTTTTGTTCTTAAGGAGCCCAAATTTATACTTTAAAGATCTGTTTAAAACCAGATTAATACTTAAAAGATTTGTTTTTAAATGTTCAAAGATTGATTAATTGCATTTAATACTGACTATATTGTATTTTTAGTGTCTTAATGATGTTTAGTCCAGTAACTACCTGCAGCTTATTTCTGTGGCTATAACATGGCTTTGAGTTTAAACACCTTAAAGAATTTCTACTTTTGAAGTAGGTGTTGCAAATTTTTATGTATTCTATTTATACTGATTCATCTGGTTTTAATATAGTCTCTTCAACTAATTTCAGAGACTATTCTGTAATACATGAATGAGTAACCATGTTTAGACCTCCTAATTCTTTTTAATTGAACTATATTTCAGTCTGATTGGTCATGCTAAAGAAAAGCAGCCACGAGATAAATTTTTAATGACCAAAGACCAAGATTGCCCAAGATTCAAAAACTATATTCATATAAGTTAACCAGAAAAGTTTGGCAAAAGAAAGTTCAAGCAAAAAAAGAGAAAGTTCAAGCAGAGAAGGAATTGATAGTTTGATCCAATCCCCTCTGCTGGCAGGCTGAAAGCACAAGGTCCCAAGTTTGGCCCCCGGTACCACAAAAAAATGTTAACAATAATAATTTAAGCAAAACTGAGTCTTGGGTCTGATTTGAGACCACATAGTAGCAAATTCTTAGAGTTGATAAAAAAAGCACCCAGCCCAAGCCCCAAGAGATTTTAACTGTCACCTGTTTAAATTGGGTATTGACAAGCAACTTTTTAGCTGGTTGGGAAAAGATTCTATTGTAGCAAGCTTGAATATAACATGTTGCTACAAAAAAAAATACTAATGGATACTTTGTTACATAAGTGAGTGGTGTAGTAAATGATTTTTCTGTACTGTTGCTTAGTGCTGATTTATGTGTTCTGTCTTTGATACACAGTTATCTTGTAAATTTTGTATTCTTTGAACAGCCTTTGATTTATAAAAAGCAATTTTAAACAAAGTGATGGCATCAGTTTTTATAGCCACGGGTTAATGACTAAGGACTTGCAGGACTAAGCAACAAGTTGAACTTTGAAAGTTTTGCTTGAATTGCAGTATCATTGTGATTTTTGTTTCCTAAGTCTGTTTTGAAGTCATTGAGATTTTGACACACACCATTTAGAACACCAGTTAAGGCAAAATAGAAAGAAAATAATTTAAGCATAGGGCTGGGGATATGCATCAGCAGGCGTTAAGTGCCTGCCTGGAAAGCACAAGGTCCTGAGTTTTGATCCCCAGTACCACAAAAATAATAATAATAATAACAGTAATAATAATTTGAGCAAAATTTGGGACCAGATAGCCATAACGCAAAAAAAAGTTTAGCAGCTTAAATGAAGGAACAAACGAATTTTATCACTCTTTGAAGGCAATTCTTTTCTTTTGAAGGCAATTCTTAAAGCCAGATTTTTAGTAAAAACTAGATAATTTTGATCAACATAATGGAAAATATGACAGCTTTTGCTCTCATAAAATTACAGAGATTTTAATGGTGCCATTTACTGTTGATTGCAGAGTTAGGACTTAAATGGTTTGCAGCTATAAAAGTGAAGGTTATTTCTTAGTTTCAGATAAAGAGCCATAAATAGCTATCACTTATATGGTAGTCATAAAAGAATTTCAAGTGAAAATGATTTTTTCCACTTTTTTGTGATAATGTGGAAACTTAAAAAATCGTAAGCCTTAAGATCTTTCACCTATGTTTTCATGTGTGTTGGCATGTTTAAATTATTTTTTAAAAGTATTTTATAGCTTGTGTTGTGATTTTCAAAAGCAGCCTGTTTCACGAGTTGGTGACCTTTACTCTATGGCTTTTATAGCTGTAATAACAGTTGAGTTTATCGAAAACCATTTTTTTAGCATTAAATAGTAACTGTCTTGCTAGTTTTGTCTTTTTGGCTCTGCACTTCTATTGTGAAAGAATAATTAGCAAGACTTACTAGTATATTTACTGTCATTCAAGTAAGAAAATGAGGAAAAAATATTGCTAGGTGTTTTTTGTTGGGACTTGTTCTTGTGTTACCACAGGATAGTTAAATATACTCATTTAATATTTTTTCTTAACATTCAAGTTTATTTAAATAGATTTTTGTTTTTAAAATATGAAGTTACATTTTTCTGGAAGAAGCACTGAACAGTCAGAATCTTTACAAAATTGTATTCTGTGTCTTATGAAAAGTTGTATTCTGCCCAGAGCAGAAACAAATTATTGGCTAAAAACAACAGGGAAAAAATATATCAATGTTCTACCCATATCCTTACTGTATAGTCAGTGTTTTGGTAAAAATGTACTTTTTGTTGGCTGGGTCTAAGAATGTATCAAAAGACATGGTAGATTTTGTAGAGTTTTGAAAGTCCTATTCCTTAAGGGTTCCTTATAAGATCCAGTGTTACATTGTGAAGATGTAAGTCTTTTAGTGTAAGTGGTAGATTTTTCTGTCAGAAAACAAATCCACAGGAACATCATCGTTTGTGTGCTATTTAATATTCATATGGTAGAGAACCTTGAAGTTACTGACATTTAGTCTGGTTCAGAGACCTTGAATGTGTTCTCTGGTTCTTTCAATATGATCTCTTGTTCTCTTGTATTGTATCCTTGGTTGCCTATGCTTGCACCTCTGGTCAAATTTAGGCATGGATTGAAGGTGACTTGTAAGATTTATTTCATTTGACAATTGGCAGTCTTTAAGTTTCAGGTTGTTTTATTTGGACAGAGATTAGAACAGTTGGGTTAAACAAATTGCTCCTTTTCGGACCATGTTAATTTTGTCATTGGAAAGTCTGAGTATATTGAAGTTTGGTAATAAGTCATGTTAAAGTACGTGAGTCATAGATCAGAAATCAAGGATAAATTAAGATCATTAGAGTGACTTCTGTGGAGTTAGTTATTCCAGTCTAGATGTATATATTTAATTAGCATAACTTGGACAGCACAAGATTAATGCTTTAACTTGTTTGCAGGAGTTTAAAAAAGCTGGTTTCTGTTGCCGATAGTTGGTTGGAAGGGAAAATGGAGATTCCACACATAAAATTTTTTGGATGTGCAAAACAGTTTTGATTTTATTTCTTACAAACTGTAGGACTCCAAGCCCCTTGATTCTTGATCAGAACTACATTAACACCAAAAATCAAGTTATCAAAGCAGAGAGGAGGGTGCTAAAGGAGTTGGGATTTTGTGTACATGTCAAGCATCCTCATAAGGTGAGTTGTAGAATACACAAAATTATATTTCGTAAGTATTAGGGCTTTTCCTAAAACTTCATTTTACTTGAGTTTATATTTTTAATGTATATACGTATACACTATATCTGAGAGTTAACATTGGTTTTAAAACATTCTTAGCAGGCATGGTAGTGTATGCCTGTAATCCCAGCACTAGGGAGGCTCAGACAGGAGAATTGCCAGAGTTCGTGGCCTGTCTAAAACTACAGTGAGACTCTGTCTCAAAACCTAATAAAAAGCATTCCTGTGGACATTAAGAGTAATCAATAAAGTAGAAGTGAGTACATAGCTTCAAATATTCACTCTTAATTGTGTGATCTAATAAGTTTCATGGTTAAATTGCAGTTTTCCATTCTGAAATACAAGGTGGTAGAATACTTCATTCTGAGGAATAACAATGAAGTTGCAAAATATCTGGTACACTGCCACAGTATTAAAGTATTCAAACTGTAGTTGCTTGCTCTAATTATTTTTAAAAAGTAGTAGGGGGCCGGGGAGGTGGCACAGTGGAATAAGTGCTTCCCTGGCAAGTGCAGGGGCCTGAGTTCAATTCCTGGTTCCACAAAAATTATTTTTAAAATGATAGGTTTTCCCCAGCATTCCTTGTTTTTTATGTTCTCAATATGAACAGTAGCTTGATGGTTAGCTAGAGTTGTGTGCTTGGATCTAAGGCTGTTGGAATAAAAAATAGTCTCGTTAATTGTGATACTTGTAGCTAGGTCTCCCTTAATTTTCACTGTTAAACTTGTAGGAATTTTGGGAATGGTAATAAAGATAGTGAGATAAAGTTATTGACATGTGAGAACCATCACTGCAGGTTATTTACTGTAGTATTTGGGAAAAACAACAAAATGTAGCTACTGTTACTCTAAAAAAAATCTCCGTAGGGTTTTTAGGGCATGTGAAATGTACTGTGATAACTTAAATAAAATCATCTTTCACAATGCCCTTTACATGGTAAAGTCTGTAAAGAAGTTTTATTTATTTCATTACTGGTGAATAAATCCAGGGCCTGACACATGTATGTTAGCCAAGTGTTCTACCATTGTTCTACATCCACAACCCAATTTTTTGGTTTGGTATTGAGTGGATTATCTTTTTTTTTCTCTACAATTTTGGAACACACTTTTAAAAGTAATTTTTATTGAATCTGGTGACATAATAACTCACATTAAATCTTAAGTGCCTTGTAGTTTGATAAGTATTATCTATGCAGTTTATAGAAAAAACAGAGCTTATATCTAACATTGTTTATTGAGGTCTGGGAAAGAACCACCATTATGCTAATGAGTTTTTTCCCTTTGTCCTTCAGATCATTGTTATGTATTTACAAGTCTTAGAATGTGAACGTAACCAAACCCTGGTTCAAACTGCCTGGTAAGTTATATTTTTACATTTCACTCCTAGTCAGGAAAACAGAAGCAGAAATAAAGTAAGTTTCTTTTTCTTTTTCCAAAATAATGAAATAAGTTTGGGGTGTTTTCTTTTTTTCTTTTATTTAACCAAAAGGTAAATAATGCTTATTTCTGCTTCCTGTTTTCTTGGCTTGACTAATTACTTTTAATGGAGAACTCAATTTAACTTTGTTCTTTTTTCTACTCTTTAATTAAAGGGTAGTCCATGATGGTAAGTCTAGAACTCTGCCCTCTGCACTTCAGCCCATGACCTCAGGATGGCCTGATTGGCTGCCCTGCTCTCCAGCCAATCCAGTGCAAGCTCTCATCCGAGATTCACTGAAGTGGTCCATATCCATCTGGCAGCATCTTCTAGTTCTGTCGGGGTGTCAAAAGGATTTGTATATTTGCTTCTAGAAGTAACTATTCAACATGCATATGTATTTAATGTATACCTGTAACTCAAATGAATAGCTCATTTTTGATATTTTGTTGTCCAGCCATTATAAATTAAATGGTTTTTTTTTTTTTTAAAGGATTTTGGCTAAATTTCTGTATACAGTATGTATAGCATGAATTCAGTCAAAAGGCTATAGCCTGCATCTTTAAGTGGGTACTAGTTCCCTTGCTAGGTTCATAGTTGCTGTTCTGTTGCAGACAATATTATGATAAGCACTTCATTTTTAAGAAGTTAATATGACTTAAATGCTTTTGAACTTGCACCTTTGAGATGCAGATGTATATTTTGGAGTGCTGGCTAAGGTCAAGCCAAGAGATTGTGGCTCAGCCACAACTCTTAGTTTTATAAGCTATTGATGTGAAAAACTCATTAATTTTAATTTTTATGTCCTGGATTTTCCCAGCCAAATGTCTTTCATGACTGCCATGCATCTTTTGGACTCTATAAATATTTAGTAATATCACAAAAATCTCATATATAAAATGCATGACTTAATTGTTCTATAAAACATTTTGGTAGATTTTTATGGGTAAAGATTTTTAAGAAATTCATTTCAGCCTAAATAATTTGTAGATTTTTTAGTTGAGGAATATTCGTGGGGAGGGCTCATTAATAATTTCAGCAATTTATTAATTGAAATACTTTTATTGCTGTTGTTTGTACTGTAAAAAAGGTATGTAAACTTTGTATTTCTTGCTTTTCATTTCCCTACCTAGATTTTCCTCAAGTAGCTTAGTTTTCTTAATAAAAGTCTAACTTACAAAAAGTGGGGTTTTTTTGTTTTTGTTTTGTTTTTTTTTACCAGTCATAGTTACTTTGAGTTTTTTAAAAATTTGGTTGGCAGTTTTTTTATTGTGGATAAAGGAGAGATGGTCAGTAATTAATGGCTTGAAGTATTATTGGAGTAGTTTATCTTTTCTAAAAATAGTTATGTCAGAGTTGACCTAAGCATTGCTTTTTACAGAACTACATTAAAGGGTTACATGGTGATTAAGTTGATTAATTTAAAAGGGCTTTGGTCACATAGGGGACAACTACATGGGGACAACTAAAGAGTGGTCCTAGGGTTACAGTCTTAATTTTACTGATTTTTTTTTTTTTAGTTGAGAATTGTTATATGCTAGAACAGGAAGACATAAGAGAAGAAAAAAGAATAAAGTAGATTGAGTCTCCAAATCTGTGTAAGCTTCAGAAAAACTGATTTGTTCACATACAAAGCTTACAATTGAAATATTTTTCAGGAATTACATGAATGACAGTCTTCGAACCAATGTTTTTGTTCGCTTTCAACCAGAGACTATAGCATGTGCATGTATCTACCTTGCTGCTAGAGCACTTCAGGTAGGTTTATGTGCCTGTTTTTTTCTATGGCTTAAATCTTAAAGAATTGTCAGCAGTTTGAATAAAAACTAGCAACAATTTAATATCAGCGTTCTCTTTCCATGGCTTAGATTCCATTGCCAACTCGGCCCCATTGGTTTCTTCTTTTTGGTACTACAGAAGAGGAAATCCAGGAAATATGTATAGAGACACTTAGGCTTTATACCAGAAAAAAGGTACTGGTTTTACTTGGTGGTACTAATATTATCAGAGCCAAGAGACTAAAGGGGAATGCTAACTTAATTTTCCCTCAACAGCCTAATTATGAGTTGCTGGAAAAAGAAGTAGAAAAACGAAAAGTAGCCTTACAGGAAGCCAAATTAAAAGCCAAGGGATTGAATCCTGATGGAACTCCTGCCCTTTCAACACTCGGTGGATTTTCTCCAGCCTCTAAACCATGTAAGATAATTTCAGAATTGACGTTATCTGGGGCACTGAAGGTTTATTTGTATTAGAAAAGCTTAGCATTTATCATTTTCTTGGAAACAGTTAAAGCTGTTACTGTTTTCTCTCCTAGCCAACAGCTAAAAGTGATAGTTGAAATTACAGTACTTTGAGTTGCAGTTAAAAACTTTTAGGGGCCAGGGAGATGGCTCAGTGGAGTAAGGGCTTGAGATCAATCCCTGGTTCTGCTAAAAAAAAACAAAAAAAAAACAACTTTTAGCTCTCAAATTCAGTAGTTAATGTATTGTCATATCTTTCAAAAGCATCACCAAGGGAAGTAAAAGCAGAAGAGAAGTCTCCAATCTCCATTAATGTGAAGACAGTCAAAAAAGAACCTGAAGATAGACAACAGGCTTCCAAAAGCCCTTACAATGGGTAAGTACACTTGAATTAGAAAACTTAATTGAAGGACTCTTTGTTTTTATATATTAACTAAAATATTTTGCTTTTGAAGTGTAAGAAAAGACAGCAAGAGAAGTAGAAATAGCAGAAGTGCAAGTCGGTCAAGGTCAAGAACACGATCACGTTCTAGATCACATACTCCAAGAAGACAGTAAGTACATATTTCCTTTAGGGAAAGTATTCTTATTTGGAGTCTTCAAAGGTTTTTACTCTTATGAGAAGATTGGATTTATCCATTTTCAAAATTAGGCTAAGTTTAGGCTTTTGAACAAAGTAAATAAGCTTGGGGACATACTCTGTGTGATTTTCATAAGTAGTGTACCTTTATGAAATTTTGTATGTTTTTTAGTTTTTTAGAGAAGTGTAGGGGCTGCCCACAAAGTATATCCCAATTATAATGTGTTTAAACAATGTCTTTATATTTTTCAGTTAAAAATAAGTCACTATTTCAGTAATGTCTTAACCAAAGCCAAAGAATCTTCTCTAGTTAGTTTTGTAATTAGATTGGAGATTCCTTATAATTACATTGAAGATTCTTTATGGTTCTTCAACTATGTGAAGAAAGCATAGGCTCTAAAGTACTTAATAAAATTGATAGTTTCTCCTGCTGGAAAGTAGAGTACATTTCTAACATAATTAATAGGCTTCAGTGAGGTGATTAAGGGATGGAGAAATTGAGTAGTTTGTAGTTTCCAGTTTGTCATTGATTTAGCCAACTGTTTTAAACTTGTTAATGAGCAACAACTAAGAATAATCTCTTCCCTGTAGAAACTAAATCTAAACCTCAAATTTTTATTACCTAAGTTACAATAATAGGCGGAGCCGATCTGGAACATACAGCTCAAGATCAAGAAGCAGGTCCCGCAGTCACAGTGAAAGCCCTCGAAGACATCATAATCATGGTTCTCCTCACCTTAAGGCCAAGCATGCCAGAGATGATTTTAAAAGTTCAAATAGACATGGTCATAAAAGGAAAAAATCCCGTTCTCGATCTCAGAGCAAGTCTCGGGATCACTCAGATGCCGCCAAGAAACACAGACATGAAAGGGGACATCATAGGGACAGGCGTGAAAGATCTCGCTCCTTTGAGAGATCCCACAAAGGCAAGCACCATGGTGGCAGTCGCTCAGGACATGGCAGGCACAGGCGCTGACTTTTCTTCCTTTGAGCCTGCATCACTTCCAGTTTTCCCTATCTGCAGTATGATGTATGGACTCTCAAACCATTAAAAGCAAACTGATTAGGATTTGATTTCTTAAAACTTCTAGGTCTCTAGAAACACTGAGGACGTTTTCTTTTGAAAAAGAACTATGTTAAATTTTTTTGCACATTGAAATGCCCTAGCAGTATCTAATTGAAAACCATGGTCAGGTTCAATTGTACTTTATTATAGTGTGTATTGTTTATTGCTATACAAACTGGAGTGTGGATTCTGTAAAAAATGTATCTTATTTTTATACAGATAAAAAAATTGCAGACATTGTTCTATTTAAGTGGTTATTTGTTTAAATGATGGTGAATACTTTCTTAACACTGGTTTGTCTGCATGTGTAAAGATTTTTACAAGGAAATAAAATGCAAATCTTGTTTTTCTAAACTGCTTCAAATATCTTATTTAAATTATTAAAAAGGCAAAATTTTACAGTAAAATGGCTGTACTGATTTTCTAACAGCATATTTTTTTCTTAACCACCTTATAGGTGTATTAAAATAATTGGGTTATTAAAGTAATTCTTAGCTAGCTATGGCATGGCTATAATCTCAGCTACTCTGGTGGCTGAGGCAGGAGGCTGAGGCATACCCAAGTGAGTCTGTTAGGTGGCATGGAAAGGTGTTTCTCCTAGCAGATTGGAGATAAATTTAGTGTCTTAATGAGTTTGAGTATGGTAACGTTAGATTTTCTGTTAATTTTTTTTTGCCCACTTCATCTGTTAGACTTGATTCCAAATGAGTTGCTGTTTCAAAACACCAGATATGTCCGCACAGAAGGATTTATTGCCATACGGGATCTGAAAGGTCTCCAAAGATAAGTAGGCAGGCAGTAGGTCTGGAAAAAGATAACTTCAAAGGAGTCAAGACTCATTTAAGATAGAAAAGTGTTGGACTAGCCACGGGTGGCCCATGCCTATAATGGCTCTTGGGAGGCTGATGGAGGAACACTGCCATGAGTATGAGTTCTTGATCAGCCTGAGTTCAAGGTCAGCCTGAACTGCATGCTGAGACCCTGTCACCAAAAAAGAAAAGGTGGCTGCTGTGCTAGTTTTTTTTTTTTTTTGTGTGTGTGGAACCAGGGATTAAACTCAGACCTTGCACTTGCCAGAGAAGCACTTCTACTGAGCCATCTTCCAGGCCCCCAGATCTGTTTGTTTTTATAAAGAGTCTTAGACTAAGTAAGTGTGACTCCAGAAGTGGCACTAGGATTTTGCCTCATTTACATGGTATTTCATTGAGTTCCCAGTTCTGGTTTATGTTGTACTCAGGGTTTAACACAGCATGTTCATGCTAGATAAGACTCCACCACCATCTGCTTCCATATCCATTTTTGAGACGTCATCTCAGTGAGCTGCCCAGGCTGATTTCAGATTTGAAATCCTGCCTCAGCTACTAGATAGCTGCAATCATAGTTCTGTGCATAGTCGTGTGCCATCACGCCCAACTTTTGAGTTCCCAATTTTTTTCCCCCTCTTTGATTGTTTGAGACAGGGCTTTATTGTGTGGTTTAGGCTGTTCTTGAACTCACTATCCCAGGCTCACCTCAAATATGAAGTCATCCTCTTGCCTCCTGCGTTTTCGCCACAGGCAACGTGTCACCATACCCACCCTTAAATTGCCAATTCTTAATCTATTGGTGCCTATACCTCACCAACACCTTGGGGTGTGTTCCTTGTATCTGTTCTCGCTCACCTCCATTTTCCCATTGCAGTGAGAAATCGTCTTAATGTAAATAACTTTTCCTAGTGATTCTAGTTTTTCACGTAAGTTCTTTTTATGGAATATTAGTCATCTTTTGTAGTTTGTATCTTAACTCTAAAGGAGCAGTATAATTAATTGCTTTCTCATTTTAAAACAAAGTGAACACAAAATGGCCATAGATTGAGTACCCCTGGTGTAAAATTTGAAATCATTTAAAATGTTAGCCTTTTGAAGGCTGATCACAAATCTGATGGTTCAGTGTACAGAAAACATGCATAAAATTATTAAAATATTTAAAAATTAAAGATTGTACAAGGTACATGAAACAAATGAGTTTCATGTTTAAACTTGGTTCCTAATAGGAAAATATTTCATTGTCTACATGTACATATTCCATGATCTAAAAATACTTGAAACTCTTCTGGCTCCAACCATTTCAAATAAGGGATATTCATTCTGTTTCTCTTCATTGAAGACCTAAGTTCTGCTTTAATAGCTTTATAGGGGCCAGGGAGATGGCTCAGCGGAATAAGTGCTTCCCTTGCAAGCTCAAGGGCCTGAGTTCAATCCCCGGTTCCGCAAAAAAAAAAAAAAAAAAAGCTTTATATATTAACATCAAAAACCTTTCTTATTTAAGTGTTTTAAGTTTTCGTGAACATTTCCAAAAGCAAGATAATCTTACCCCACTTATTTGGCCTAAGGGTGGTACAGGAGGCTGAAGCCAGGGCCTTATGCATGCTACACAGACACACAGAGCTACTCTTTAGTCCTTTTTATTTTGAGGCAAGTTCTAGTTAAATTGTCTGGGTTGTCCTTGAACTTGGGCTCTTTCTGCCTTAGCCTCCTTGAGTGCTAAGGTTATAGATGTGTACCACGATTCCTAGCAGTAAAGATTTTCTTTTTAAATAAGAGATTTTTTAAAATTTTAAAGCATGACATACTAAAAGGGCTGGCTTTAGCTGGTGACACAGAATGCACACAAAGTTTGGTATAGAAAATCACTTG